GGAAGGAAGGAAGGAAGGAAGGAAGGAAGGAAGGAAGGAAGGAAGGAAGGAAGGAAGGAAGGAAGGAAGGAAGGAAGGATCTTCAAAATGAAAACAGCTTGAAAAGTGCACTTTCATTTTCTCTTATTTTCTCTTCATATTTCTTCATTTTGTTTCCAGGCTATCTAACGATCTTGATCAGTTTTAAGGAAAGCAGCTAACCGCTCCAGGCTGTGCAGGATGCATCTGTGTCTGAAACCGCACCAGTCAGTCTTTATTTTCTTGGTTTCACAGGTTGCAGAACTTTAAACCGTCCCTTTATTACAAAGGGGCAAACGATCAGTTTCACCCTGGAAGCTGTGACTTGCATCATGATCCCCGTTCGGTGTCTAAACACGCTGAACAAGACCGAGAACACTGGAGTAAACTCTGTGGTTCTGAACTTGGTGCTAATTGGACCACATCTCCACCATCTCTACCCTACAGTTAGTCATTACTCTGCAATGTCCTGGCCCTGCACCTCATCTGCCCAGATGACGTATGTGTTGGTGGTTTATGGTTTTCAGAGAGCATGCGTTCATTAGGTCTGGATCTGCAGGAGGGGGGAGGGGTGGAGGAGGTGACCTCACATCCCTCCACCTCTGTCTAAACCCCCAAAAATAAAACTTATTCCTGGCAGAAGTGGATCTGCATGAGGGAACGTCTGAGGAATGCTTCGGAGCACCGCCATCCCAGTGGGGCTGGTGGACGAGTCACATCTGTCAGCTGTAATCTAAAACGCTTCTCATTAATACTGCTGCAGGTTTGTCTGAAGGTATTTCACAAGCTCTCTTTGAGATTTAGCTCTTTTTTTCACTTGTCTTAAGTCCAGTAGGCAACTCAGGGGAAGCTGTAAAGTGTTAGCCCAAGGAAACGGGAGAAAGGACAGTGGAGAGCATTCCTGAGGAATAACAGGTGTGGAAAAAACAGAGATTAAACCAGATTAACACATCCAACCTCCAGACGATAATCTACTGAAGGTTCTCAATGAGTTTAGCATATTTATATGTCACCAACTGAAGGTCTGCTTGTCCATTAAGAGCCCTAAAATCTGAGCCTTTTGCAGTCAGTGAACACACCATAACTCTAGGAATACTGTTCCCAAAGTTAGAGAGTCAATATTGATGTTTTAGAACGTTTCCGTCATGTCAGTTTGATTTTTTTCTTTATTTTGGAATAAAAGCCATTTTAAGTGTAGAACTCAGCTGATTCAAATGTAACGCATATGAAGGATGTTTTTACAGTATGTCAGATGGGATTCTCTAGGCTGCTGGTTAATCATATTAATAATGAGCAAACAATGTCATAAACCAAGTAAACAAAAATGTATTAAATCCCAGAAGTATTATTTAGTGCAAATCATTTAGTAGAAAAAAAGTGTTGTTTGTAACGATATCAAGGAGGGGGAATTGCTGAAGGTCTGTGACTAATTCCAATCAGACTTAGATCCACATGGTTTGATTTCCTTTGGGATATTTATTGTTATTTAGCACAATATAAACCTACTAAAAACGTTTTATACCTCTGAACCTGATGAGCCGGTGTGTAACCTGGGAAATTTCACTGAATATTGAGGATGACAGCTTTCTAACTGGTGTAACCGGTAGGGGTCTTTAATATTAGATTTTTGTTGAATTACCAAAAACATTTTTGTAACTAAGAAGAAATTCAATGTTTATCAATCTGGAAAGTCGAACCCAAGCATTTTCATATTTCTTAAAACAGACAAAAATCGGTGTCTTTAACATCTTACATTGATGCATTTCTACTGATAGAGGAACAAAAAGCCAACAAACAGCTTAAAACTCTATTTACTGTTGGTTAAAAAGAGATTCAACAAAACCATGATCTCTAGCGACTTGGAAAGATAATATAAATAAATTAGGGAACAAAAATTGGGAGAATTGAGATGCATAGACTTTGTGGAAATTCAGAATAAAAAAATTACAGAGGAAGCAGATGAGTATCGATGTGTTTTTTCATCTGAAAATTAAGCTTAAAATGCATATTTGAGTAAAAGTAAATAATAATAATTTCAAGTTGTGTTACGGACATTCACTCACACGGAAACTCACACCCTAAAACAAAACCTACCCATTTACAACTCATCACACCATAATAATTGGACAAATAAATTGTTACTCTAAATTACAAGCATTACACCATATATATTTTCTGCAGCTCATCGCCCAATCAGAGGAAACAGCAGATCTACTCCTTAACAACCCATGTGACATTGGGTGTCACACAAGGATCTGTTCTTGGGCAACATCGTTTTAATCTAAAAATGCTTCTTCCAGGCTCTGTTATTGGTTAGGAATCAATTTACTTCCAACAATATGCTGACGACACCCTGTTTAATTTAAAAACATACCCAGAATCTACTGGGTAACAGAAACTACACAAGACTTCTCCTCAGCTCATTGGGGAATGGACCTTCCTCTCCAAAAAAATAAAAATATATAACATTAATTATCTTTTAAAAACTTGTTTCTTATGCTTTATAAGTCTGATGCTGAATAAATTCTATATTTTTGTCTTTTAGCACTTTCAAGAGAAGTGTTTATAAGTTAAAATCTATCATTTTAAAGCTTTAACCCAAGTCTACTCAGTGCACCAACAGGAAACCACCTCATCATGAGTGATGAGTTTAAAGATGTTAGAGAAATGACTACTGGATTTTCCCAGGTTATGTTTTAATCCAAGAAGACGTGACAGAAGAATCCAGATAATAAAGCCTTTTCATTTCTTTGGGAGATTACATTTTAACCATCTAGATCCCTAAAACTGTTTATTGTGTGGCTTTCTGGTGCAATCCTGAACGTCCAATTTTTTGACCACTTGCCAAACTGATTCAAAAGCTGAAGAGGATGATAAAGATTCCCAGCATTCCTGCTATAAATACTCTTGGGATCATGCTGACCTGGGGGAAAAAAATTGAAGATAACCTTTAAGGTCAGTATAAGAAAAAAAACGAAAATGTTTTTAATTTTCTTTTCCAATCAGATGAATCCTTATCTTCTGATATCAAAGTTGTTGTTCTGTCCAGATGTGGCTCATTCGTCTCCCTGGAATTTGGTGCATTTTTAAGTAAAAAGGGCTCCTACTCCTTGCCAACATTTTTCCTTCAGTAAGGTAATATACGGTTGGTGTAATCAGTCTGCACCTGAATGCAACACTAAATCATCTCTGGTCTCTGGCAGCAAGAGGAGGAATTTGCCAAACAAGGAGTGGAGGTTTGGAGTTCTGCCCCCGCTGCAGGGAAGGCTGGGAAGTGTGCACAGATCAACCAGTTTCCGCCTAATGCTCGAAAGTGACAGGTTCTGTATATACAGTATACTATGAATGACTTACTCACCGACATTACACATCCCTTACAAACAAAACAGATTTTTTTCCCAGCAGTACTTGCCATCCAAGTCATCCTGTTTCAGTCTGACCTTTCAGGTTCTGCATGACCCGCTCAAACATAGCAACAATCAGTACGAAAAGATGAAGCAGTGGTGCATCTACCGATATATGATTTGATACCATTAAATTATCCATCTATTTTAGTCACGCTTATCTCTGCTTATCACGAGGGGTGATGGTGCTTATCTCCAGCTGTCAATGGGTGAGAAGCAGGGTACACCCTGACAGGTCGCCAGTCTATCGCAGGGCAACACAGAGACAAACAGGACAAACTATTCACACTCACACCTAAGGAGAATTTAGAGAAGCCAATTAACCTAACAGTCATGTTTTTAGACTTTGGGAGGAAGCTGGAGTACCCGGAGAGAACCCACGCATGCTCAGGAGGAACATGCAAACTCCATGCAGAAAGACCCCGACCCTGACTTTAACCCAGAACCTTCTTGCAGAACCTTCTTGCTGCAAGTCAGCAGCGCTACCCACTTCACAACTGTCCAGCCCACCATTAAATAATTTAATCATAATAGTTCCTGGTTGTTTTCTAAAAAGAAAAGAAAGAAATTACCCTAGATGTGCTTATTGACTAAATCTGACGTTTTTAGAATTGGGCAAACGCGGCTAGGATCAGGGAATTTAACTATTTCATTTCCGCTGTTTTTCTCTGAGTACTTCAGCTCAACCACATAGTCCGAAAATACAACTTTTAGGTCAATGTCCCTAAATTGCACTTAGGTGTGAACGTGTTTGTACATAGCTATCAGTCCTTTGCGTTAAGATAATGGATTGGTAATCTGTCCGGATTATCCCCACCCTGTTGTCCACTGAGTGTTGGAGATACGATTCATGCTTCCTGATTCCAATTAAGCAGAAAGGTCACGAAAAACATGATGCACAAATTTCCAAACATGTTCTAAACTTTAGCTCATCAGCATTAATGACGATCAGAACCTTTAATACAAACACAAATACGTCATGGTAGACAGGAAACAATGGTGATTTGAGTAAATGTTTTCTAAATCCCTCCTCACAATAGTCTTAAAGCCTGTGCACATCTCAGAAAGATGTCTTCATGCAGAAAACATCTAGTGCAAAAGCATCTGTGAGGATAACAACATGTTTCTGATTAATTATGGCAGCTTTTATTGAAAGAAAACCCAGACATTTTCTCTGCAAGAGCAGTAAAGTGCAGGGGATATTTGCTTTGGTTTGTCAAGCACCCAAAACCATTTAAACACACAACATGTGAGGAAGCGAGTGAGCAAATCTCATCCAAGCCCAACACAGCTTCTTCAACCGATACCAAAAAAGGCAAAGCAGCCAGAGCCTTTTTTTTTCCTCTGCCCTTCAGCTTCTTCTCACTGCAGTCATGTTCCACTTACTTCAGCTCAGACTCACGTCAGATGACGCCTTTATATGATGATTCACTTTTTTATTAACAGAAAAACTGAATAATTCAGGTTAGACTAAGCTTTTTTAAAATGTTTCTTAATTTAACTGCAAAGTGAGAAATTTTGTTATAAGTTCAGGCATTTGAAATCTACTTACCAGCTCATAGTTTGTCGCTGGAACACAAGAGGAAGACACCTGCAAACGAGGAGAAACGTAATTAGTTATGCTTTTGGTCAGATGTAAGTAAGTAATGTTTATTTATATAGCAACTTTCACAGACATAGAGGTCATAAAGTGCTTCATAAAATTACATTACAAATATAAAATACATTTACAGTCACAAAAGACATGGTCATAAAACAACCCTCAATCTACTGGAATTAAAACGCTTTCTTAAACAAATAGGTTTTCAGTTCACTCTTAAAAACATCAACAGAATCAAGTAAGCGCAATGAAAGAGGAAGATGGTTCCAGAGCGCCGGTGCGACCACCTGAAAGAAGCAATCTCCCCTGGTCCTGTAACGAGTACGAGGGACCATGAGCAGGTTCTGGTCCGGAGACCTTGGCCTCGGAGAGGGGGTATAAGGACACAACACGCCTCTAATGTAGGATAGATGTTACATGGCCAATTTCTAAGCAACACGAACAATCAAATAAATAAAAGTTACACCAGATGTGGTGTAGACCCTCGTGTTCTTCAGATCTTTAAACTCAGTCACACTGTCCCTGATTAGCCTAGCAGTTCAGAATCACAGGGAAACATCTTCTTCCTGAACATCCGACACTAAACTGAACAGCTTCACATCTGACTAATTCAGGCTTCAACAGGTTCTTTGAAAAATAAAAACTGCCAAAATCCAATTCATTCATTAGCATTTCTTGATTTTATACAGAATTTCTATCTGCAAAGATGAAGATCCACTCAGCTCCACATGCCGAAGTGGCTCCAACACACGGTAGCCTTACCTAAAAGCTAATAAATGCATTAGTTTACCACTTGGTGGAGTTAATTAAACGTTTAAACTGCATTGAACTTTCTTTTCCTTTTAAATAACTATGAAATCAAACAAGACTAAAACATTATGCAGCTGGTCAAGGTTCTGTAGATCTACTTAGAACCCTTTCTCCAAATAAAAGCCTGCAGATTACAAAGCATTACATACTTCATAGATGCAAAAAGACTCCATTGGCTAAACATTTTAAACTGTCTATTTTTTAACGGTCAGGAAACATACACGGCAGGATGGGAAATGCTACTACAGCAGGTCTCATTTCTCAAACATTTCTCAAATTTATTAACAAGTCATGTTTAAAGTCAGAGTACTTTATGCTTATTTTATTTTACGGCCACAAACTACTTTAAACTCCAAGGTGTCTCTTGGAAGAGCAAAAGATAACAGAAATTGACCTGAAATATAAGAGAAGCTCTTTAAATTAAAATAAGGTATGAATCAGAGGACCTCCTGATGTCTGAACTGACCCGACTTTCATCCTTTGCAGTTCGGCTCATTCAACGAGCTCAGAGCAAGAACTGCAGCGCGCTGATAAACAGGAAGAGCGTAATGATAATGGCGGTTAACAGAAGATTGAAATGAAGGGATTACAGAAAAAGCCTGATGAGGATGAATGCAGGCAGGATGTCCGTGTTGATGTTTCCTTCCTGTGCACGCCTGCCTTCACTTTAACCTTCATTCCTCAAATGCTGCTCATTGGGGGAAAGACAAAAAAATTACTTGCAAACTTAATTTCCACCAGTTAGTGGTTTTATCTGCTAAACGACAGTTTGATGATTGCAGGGAGCTTCTGACTCCTGCAGACCTTCAATCCCGGTTTTATTACCACTCTGCGTTTTAGCTCTAGGAGATGAGGCTCTACTGTTATCACAAGTGTCGGCCACTAGAAGCATCTTTCATCCTGGCTGCTCTCCTTATCCGAGACTAATTATGTCATCGGATGAACACAAGGCTTGGGATAAGGACACGTCTGTTTTTTGTTACTGCGGCACATTCCTCGTCTGACCAACAAACAGGATAAAGTCTTGGGCCTCTCAGGGTATCTTTGCATCTATGTTTGTAAATCTGCTGGCAAACTGACAGAGAGGTGTTCAGCAGGTAATGATGGAGTTTAGTTTGGACACAGTCAGGAATCCCAGTTAAACCCAGGATGATCCTCTTCTTGTCCTCCAGTTTATTTTTGCCTTTTCTTTTTATTCTAAAACTGCAAAGCTAGAAGTAAAGTATTAATCTCATCATTAGGGTTTATTTTATCTATTTTCTTGTTTTTAACAAGAACAAAGTGTTTCTAGCGTGGCATATTTTGTCCTCCCTTTAAAACAACTGTTTTTTCAGCCAGGCCCGAACCAATCAACACTTAGCATCCCCCTATGTGCTGATTGACCAGCAGGTGCACAGGTGTACATGTGATTTCTTTATCAGATTTTTTTTGTAAGGTACTTTTAATTTAAATAAAATTTGTGTGGTGATTTGTAATGAGCATGGAGGAAGCCACAGTCTGAAACCTGTTGATATACCACTGAGGTTTGTTTCCAGGTACTTCAAGTGTTGCTGGAGTTTTCATCTTTAAGGCTTCTACAGCATCAGTGTTTCAGTATTTTACATCAGTCCATTTTGTCCCACTAAGTCCTTGTCAGGGTCCCGGTAGGGCCAGAGGTCTACGACACGAGGTGGGGTACACCCTGGACAGGTCCCCTGTCTGCCGCAGGGCAACACAGAGACACACAAAGGCACAAAACCATGCACACAACCTCTCACAATTTTTGGGACTGAGGGAGGAAGTGGGGGTACCAGGAGAGAACCCATGCATGCACAGGGAGAACATGCAAACTCCAGGCAGAAAGACCCCGGGCCAGGAATCCAACCATGGCTCCCGGGTTTGATTGCTACCCACTGCTTCACCTTGCAGCCCTGTTTCAGGATATGAATTTTAAAGTCAATGTTAAATCTTTAATCAATTTACCACAGTTGAGCAAAAATAATTTGGCAAAACCATTTTGAGTAAATCTGATGGCTTTAGATCTAACAGCAATGCAGGCTGGGCTACAAATATATTAATAAAGTTAAACAATTTCCAGTTAATTCAGAAACAAATATCATGCATATATATATATATATATTTTTTTTTTTTTTTTCTTTTTTTTCCCTTTTTTTACGTAGAGTAAAACATTCAAGTTTTCATTTCTTGTCATTTTCATGATTAGGATTAATAGAGAATGAAAACAAAATAAATTTCCTCAGAGAGTTATTATATAACATCAATTGAAATGTCTTGACCAAGAAAAGTATGTTCCTTTTAATACACTCCATGTGATTGGAGCTTATTTTGGATTAATTAATGCATCTATGCAGCGTTGCATGGAGGTGAGCTGACTGTGGTTCTGCTGAGCTGTAAATGCATCCCAGCTTTCTTTCAGAAATTCTACATTAATGCTTCTGGTTTCTCATTCCATGCAGGGTTCTGGTCAGTCCAGTCTGCTGGACTTCAGGAAACCCAGAGGACCAGTACAAACAGACGACATAGCTTCCTAAATAATCATCTGCTGAGGAGACGTCACATTGGACGAAGCAACGCGACTCCTTCAGCTCTCCTCCAGACTGTTAGACCATGATTTTCAAATGAAATACAAACCTCTTTTTACTCTACAAGGAAAAGGTGGATTACTGAGCAATTCATTTTCTCCTGAGAAGGACCAAGGTTGCTCTTGTTGCTGTGACTTCAGCCTCAGTCCCCTCAATGTGATCTTTTTTCATCTTTTTTTCCCTTTTACTCAATTTTCTATGAAAATGCTAGAGGTTTTTTTTCAAGAAGTTAAAAGTTTTCTTCAGCTGTCTGCTATAATCATTAAAATTACAATAAATGCAAATTTGAAATGTTTTAATCTGTGTTAATGGATCTGTAGAATATAAGCTTCACTTTCTCAAAATGTAGTGTCTACACATATTTTGGTTTTTGAACTGTACTTAAAGGTTAATGAGATGATCTTAAGTTTAACAGATGAATTATAATAGTTTTAGATTTTTCAGTCTAATATATTTTATTTAGTTTTAACTACTTTCTTCTCTAATTAACTTAGCTTAATTAGGTTTTGTGGAGGGCTTTTTTTGTACAACCTATTTTCAAAAACTAAAACTATTGTTTCAGTGATTTTATACTATAGTTTTGTTTTTTTTTCATAAGTTTTAGAAAACTATATTGACCTGGTAAAAAATTTTAGTTGGTTATTCGCATTAAAACTGAATTTCAGCATGGTAAGAAAAAACAGCGCCACTATGAATCCCTGAAATAAACTTAGGGGAAAGTCTAAAGTGTCCTCCAGTACATCTGTCAAACATTAAAAGATGATGTCAACAAGCGGTCCAATGAAAAAAAAAACTTAAAAACCTCTTCAGGAGGCCTGGACATCCATTGATCAGCACCACTTTAAAAGACTTCTGAAACGTCTGGCAGCCTGGAGGGAGAAAATCTCGTGGAAACGAGCAGCAGGTGATTTCAAACCAGCTGCAAAAAGACGACTGGATGACTTCCATGGGACTTCTCAGGCTGATTAAAGCCACAAAGTTAAACATGAGTGAGTCACTTCGGGCCACTGAAGCATCTCCATGTCTTTTATAGCTGCCCCTCCCCCCGCTTTGGATTGCAGGAATGTTCACTCTAAACAGGAAATGACCCTAATCACATCATATGTTTCAGTCCATTTCTGCTGTAGCAGCAGCTGCCATAAAAGAGGCTGTGACTCATTTTAAAGCAGAACCCAACATGGTGTCATCAGAAGGACCCTAATGTTAGATGTGAAGGAAAATCTCCATGCAGCCTAGATGAACGATGCCATCCATGTGGAATGTGTCTGATTTCGAGGTTTTCCTTTGAGCTGATGAGAGGACACAGCATTTACGCCCATCTTAAACCCTTCCCTGTTACGACTCCTTCTTGAATATCTCCATCCTTATCGCTGAAGGGGCCCTCCTCCTCCCTCTGGTGTCCCGACTCCTCCAGTCTGGTCAGTGTTTTTATGTTTGCACTGCAAGCTGCCGACAGCTGATCCACCTGCGGTGAGCAAACGGCTCAGCAAGCATATCGCGAACCCAGATACCCAGGAAATGTTTGGAATATCTAGAAACATGCCTGGGTATGACAGCATGATCCAGGTTGCCTGCAGAGGTGTAAGGACATTGTTTTGA